GAGGGAGAAAATTTTGAATATGAGGGAATTGGCTAAACTTAAAATTTCATGGGAGAATCCTAAAGAAAGGGGGAAACTTTGTTATATTGTGTAAGGAAGTCTAAATTTCAAGATCAAAGGCTAAAATGGGCTTTATAGTATCAGAATGTGTTTGGGGGTCGACCAGGGAGGCTGTGTTCTGTCTCCAGAGCCAGTATTCATTGATTTTTGTCATACTGGAATCTCCTTCATGTATATTTTTAAAGCTAATTTATTTTCTAGAAATCATGGAAACCTAAAATGGTGTATCACAATACTTTGTGAAATAGTTCTATAGATTTTTCCATACAGCTTCTGTAAAACAATCACCAACCCTTACATTTGCACAATAACTTTACAAAGTACTTGTTCTAAATGATATATGACAAAAAAATATTATTCTATGTCATGCTTCGTTTTTTTAATTCCAAGGATATGTTTTTATTGATTTTTAGAGAGAGAGGAAGGGAGGGAGACAGAGAGAGACCCAACTGGGGATCGAACCTGAAACTCAGGTATGTGCCCTGACCAGGAATTGAACCTGCAACCTTTTGGTGTATGGGATGAAGTTCCAACCAACTGAGCCACTGGGCCAGGGCTCATGTTTCTTTTAATACACCTCCGAGCTGCTTCATTAACAGGCTAACTGCGACGGTAGAATTAGGTACCTGTTCTGGAGAGAACCAAGTCAGTTTCCTTGAACAAAACTCAGAACTGCTTTGCACACATTTCCAACTCTTAAATCTCACACCGGATATTTGCCCCTCTCCCCTCCCACTTATCCTTTGATGCACTAAAGATATTTAGGTTTAAAAGGTCAAAGGAAAGTTTTTTTTAATCTTTGAGGAATCTTGGCTTTTACTTCTATATGAGAGACATTTCACTTTTCTCCTCAGAGCCCTGGCATTGATTTTGGTGGGAAAGTCATATCTCCAATATTGTTTAATGAAAGACAAAAAGAAAACTGTCCACGTGCTTATGGTTGTCTGTATTCCACTGGAAACTTCATGAACTTGAAAATTCATGTGACTGAGTAGGAGTGTCCGGCCAACTGCTGCCTCCCAATTACAAAGCAGAATGAAAGAGGCCAACTTCCTTCTTGAATATTGTGGAAGAGTGGTAGTCAGCCCAGTAGGGGCAGCTCATAAAGCTGTGCTTCCTCACCCCTTGCACCAGAATGGAGCTTTGATTCTTAGTTTCATTAGGAGGTTGAATACCAGGGACTATTTTGAAGTGGGGGTTGAGGTGAAGTTGGCTTTTGTTGGCATAACATCAATATTAAGCACAGGTCATAATTATACCCATTTTTGTACATGTGGTCAGAAAAACTCATGGTGAACTTTAGGAAAAATAATACCTAACACCTGGCATTTATGATGCCTGGCTCTATTCAAAGTCTTTACATATAATAGCTCATTTTATGCTCACAATAATCCTATGAGGTAGGATTATTATAATTCCCATTTTAAAGAGAAGACTGAGGCATAAAAAGGTTATGAAACTTGCCTAAGGTCACTATCTAGTAAGTAATGAAGCTGAAATTTGAATTCAGGTTATCTGACTCCATAGTCTGTGCTGTCTAGTGACATTGGGACAAAGGGTGGGATGCTGGACTATTGTCAGATGATCTTTTGAGCCAATCAGAAGAAGTACAGTAGTTAATACAATCTGCTTTTCCTATTCACCTGTGAGAAACAATTCTTCTTTTTGAATAAGCAAATATGTGTAAATGGATTAGATAAGAAAACCCAAGAATAAACACAAGGTAAATATATTAATGTTTTTATAGCATTTAAAATCCTTTTTCATATTTTTATTTGTTTTGCAAGAATCATGTAAAATATATCTTATCCCTATTTTATCAAAGAGGAAATGGAAATCAGAGAACTTATGTAATGTGTTTAGATCAATAAGCAGGAATTAGAAGACCTGGGACTAGAGTATGTGTTATTCCAGCTTCCATGCTTTCGAAACTACACTATACACACACGGGGTTCTCTTAGAGCTAAAGGATCAGTACCTATGGGAAAAGGTAAAGTTAAACGGGAGCCATCTATATCCTTCCCATGGTTAGTAAGAGAACAAAGATGAAACTTGGTTGCCTTTTTAATTGTCTTAGCCAAAGTCAGTTAGTTCTTTTCTGTCCTACCTGCCGACAATCCGACAATCTGATTAGAAAGCAGCTCTTTGGCTCTTACAGAAACGATCAAATTATGTTAAAAGAAAAAGGCAGTCTACTCTCTTCTCCTGGCCCCACTACTTGAAGGGGGTGAGGACTGACAGGATTCGGCCAGAGTCCAGACGTAGGGAGGTGAGGATGATAAAATAGGTCAAATACGAAGCTCGGGACAATTCAGTACTCTCCTCTTGCACCTTCCTTCTCTCCCTTCCTTCTTACCTCTCCATGCATGCAATTATGTCTCAGTGATGATGATGATGATGATGATGAAGACATGAGAGAAAGAGAAGGCAGAGAAAAAAGAAGCAGAGAGTAAGAGAAGGAGGGGGAACAAGTGGGAAAAGCAAGAAGAAAAAGTATTGGAAGAGGAGGGAATCTTGGAATATGAGAGCTAAAAGGCACCGAGCAAGAGAACACCTAAGCTGGTCCCCCTTTGGTTGATGGCTACTGCCTGGTGACTTAGTTCTACTGATCCACATTCCCGAAGTCAAGTACCTTTCTTTCTTCCTGTAGTTGTGGTGGAAGAAGAAAGAAACAGAAACATAAAACCTAGGATTTGGAATCAGAACTGGTGTTGTGTCCTACTCTCCCAGCTCTGTCTGTGTATTTCCATCACTGAATCTCCCTGACCCACACTGACGTCAACTATGAAATGAGCATAACAGTCCCTACTTCCCTCAAAGGTTTGCTATAAGGCTATGCAAATGTAATTATAATTACATGTGGAACATTAGGTTTCCCAAGCCCACTCTGTCCACACTGACCTCAGATTGCACCTGCCATTGAAAGGTCTGTGTTACTTTAACAGAAAGTTAATTAGGTCCATCCTCTCTCTGGGTAGCTGCCTGAGTTAGAAGTGCAGCTCAGCACACAGGCTCTGTCATCCATATTAAAAGTGGGATTTTCTGACTTGGCCTGGGCAGCCAGTTGACCAATAGGTTCCAACGAGTGTTTTCAATAAAGCTGCTTACCCAGAAAGCCTTATTAAGTGAGTAAGTCAAGCTGACATGATTTCCGTGCTGATTAACATGAAACCCAGGCTGTTGTTGCAATGCAGTAACATTAATTATTTATAGGAGGTAAATGAGGTTACAAGGAAAACAAGCTCAGATTACCAGAAACAAATCAAATCATATATTTATATTTTTAAAAGCTATGTACTAATCCCTGCATTCATTGATTTGAGGCTCAAGCTTCAAAGATCAAAAAACATTTATTATGCTCTCTTCTTTCTGACATATGGAGGTGATGCAGGGTTTAACATTTCGAAGAATGGCTGGTAAACTGGGGTGACCCAATGGAGCTTATCAGATACTTTTATTTGGCAAATTATATATCCAGAAATTGCTCAACAAATCTCAAAACAATTCAGATTCTTCCAGAACTGAATGTAAAATGTTTACTAGGCCACCAGTCTCTTCTGGTTTCCAAATCGTAAATTTTTCATGTAAAATTCTGATTCAACAATATCTGTTAAGTGAATTAAAGCAGTCAGGCTAGTTCTGTGTTTGTTTGAAACAGCCCTCACTTATGTTTTCAGTAACTATGTTCTGTTGAGTTTAGCATTGTTCCAGATTTTTCTTTTTTTCTTTTTAAATTTTTTAAATATATCTTTATTGATTTCAGAGAGAGGAACAGAGAGGGAGAGAGAGAAATAGAAACATCAATGATGGGAGAGTCATTGATCAAGTCCACAACCGGGCATGTGCCCTGACCGGGAATCGAACCCTGATCGCCTGGATCCTAGGTCGATGCTCAACCGCTGGGCCAGATTTTTCATTTTTAATGAAATATCATTATAATAGTTGCATTAAAATAAGGTTCGGTAGACCTCTGGCTTGTAATTCCATCTGCTGCCATATTCTCTTCTGATGGTGTGAGATGCATGTGCAATGAAAAGAGCTCTCACTTTAAAATATGAGCAAATTTGAAAGATGATCAGTGGTAACCCTCCTCTCTTTTCCTAACCCTTTTCTGACACCATGTCACACCTCTAATACCACTAACAGTAGACAGACCACAAAATGCTGGCTAAAAAACAAAATGCTCTTCTGGTGGTGGTGAGAGAACTATTACATGGTCATTGGCATACCAGCCAGTTGAGGCTCTTTCTTAGGAGATGCTTGAAGTCAACAGTTGGCAGAGTCAGTGGGAAATGTGGGATATTATAGGCTAGAGATATGTGCTATGTCTCTAGGTAGAGGCAGGTCCTCTGTAGAACACATATAAAGTAGTCTGAATTTATTTTCTGGTGTAAATAGGCAACAGCTTACTTATTTTATTATTGGGTATGCTTTTTAAATTTTGTAATAATTATAATTATTATGTACATATTATATAATTATAATTACTTTAGCATCCTTTTTTCACTTACAGAAGTTTCTCTATTTGGACAATAATTTATATGCCTACTATATCTAGTTCCTTTTATGATCTGAATTCTGGGAAGAAAGAAAAATATGTTTTCATTGATTTACCAGTTTGGGTCTTTTTTGGCATAAAATAGCCATGAGATAAAATGCCTGAGAATAAAAAGAGTTAAGCATTGCCACTATAAAAACCCAGTCAATTTCCTTTTTCTATAGTTTGTTTTCTTATAACACGCCATAGCGAAATGAGTGTCCTAGGCATTTATTTGAGTCTTATATTAGTTATTTAGAATTGAGGACTTGGACTAGATAATTGTAAGTTGAATCCCAATATAAATAGTGTACTTTATATCCAAGGTATAAAAACAAGTTTGGCTTTAAATCAAATCAAATATTCAGAGGCACTAAACTTTCCTGTTTCCTTCTCCAGAATCTAGAAATGGCAAAGGCTTATGTGAAACCCAAAGAGATGGCAGAGTTGGTCAACACACCGTCCTGGGTGGACAAAGGTCTGGGCTCTCAGAGTGAGATGAAGGAGGCGGAGAGAAGACCAGGTGCTCTTGGGATGCTTGGCAGCTTACCTGAAGAGCATGACAGTAGCGAGGAAGGAGAGGAGGAAGAGGACGGGGAGAGGCCTAAGAGGAGGGGTCCCAAGAAAAAGAAGATGACGAAAGCTCGCCTGGAGAGGTTCAAGGCTCGAAGAGTCAAGGCCAATGCTAGAGAACGGACCCGGATGCACGGCCTGAATGACGCCCTGGACAACCTGAGGAGAGTCATGCCATGTTATTCTAAGACCCAAAAGCTCTCCAAGATAGAAACTCTGAGACTGGCCAGGAACTATATTTGGGCTTTGTCTGAGGTCCTGGAAACTGGCCAGACACCTGAAGGTAAGGGCTTTGTGGAGATGCTCTGTAAAGGGCTCTCTCAGCCCACAAGCAATCTGGTGGCTGGATGCCTCCAACTGGGCCCTCAGTCTGTCCTCCTGGAGAAGCATGAGGAGAAATCTCCTGTTTGTGACTCTGCCATCTCTGTTCACAACTTCAACTATCAGTCTCCCGGGCTCCCCAGCCCTCCTTATGGCCATATGGAAACACATATTATTAATCTCAAACCCCCAGTATTCAAGAGTTTGGGAGAGTCATCCTTTGGGAGTCAACCTCCTGACTGCAGCACACCACCTTATGAGGGCCCACTTACTCCACCCCTGAGCATCAGTGGGAACTTCTCCTTGAAGCAAGATGGCTCTCCTGATCTGGATAAATCCTACAGCTTCATGCCACATTACCCCTCTGCAAGTCTCAGCTCAGGGCATGTGCACTCAACTCCCTTTCAGGCTGGTACCCCTCGCTATGATATTCCCATAGATATGTCCTATGATTCCTACCCCCACCATGGCATTGGGGCTCAACTCAATACAATCTTCACTGATTAGAGCAGTAAGATCAGCATTTCAGAGAATGATGTGGAGATGTTTTCCAAAATTCAAGTGATTGAGTTGAAGATTCAATGACCTTAAAGGAACCCTATAGATATATATCAAATAATTAGTCCCAACCCATTTAGGCCCACCTACTCCTGTCACTCTCTTTTCTCATTAACTTCTCAAATTGTATTGATTCCTTTACTTAGGGTCTTTATGTGAAACTATTTGATTATTTCCAATCACATGGAAATAGAACAAAAGCCCTAGGTCTGATTCTGGTGGTGCCAATAACTTATTGAATGATCTATGCCAATTAATTTTCCATTTCTGGCCTCTTTTTACTTACTGGTAAAATCAGGCAATTGTTCTAAGTCTAGATGATTTCTAAAGTCCTTCACAGTTCTGAAATTCTGTAGCTTTGGTGACCACTTCTATAAACTTCTTGAAACTGAAAAGATGGAGGAATAGTATGAAATGGACACTGTCAATGATCAAATGGAATTGCCAAAGGAGCACTAGGTGCATGACTCTGTGGGACTTAATGATTGGACTTCTTTGCATCTATCTAGAAATAGCCTCCAGAGGCTAAAATTCTAAGTTGGCTGACACTGTGAATAACAAAGCATGTTCTTTAAGAGATTAACTCTATTTCTTGTTAGGCTGAAAGCTGAACATAACTTCCTTAGTAATTTGAGAACCATAATAGATATTTCATACCAACTTGATTCTTGATAACATTTCCAAAGCACTTTTATTAGTACTAGAGATGGGGCAATCAAGTCACTGAAACCTCAGACTCCTATGACCAATGGGACTTAGAGAAGTCCTCTAGACCATTTCATGGCCTCATTAACCAGAGGGCTCTGGAACTTCTGATGAAGCCCAGGTGCTGTTATTGGAATCAGCAAACAACCCATTTCACACTTAAGAGCAATAAAATGGCTGTTGGCTATACTATGGCTATATCAAGGTTTGGGGACCCTCTCTAGCTCACTCTTGCTCATAGGGAAACCACTACATTTTCTTTGGCAAGATGAATTTTTTTTTTTTTATTAAAGAAAATGTTTAAAATCACTGACCTCTGTCCACACCAATATCATATTTTCTAGAAGCACAACTACCAATCAATTTATTGACAAAACTCAAAATTTTCCAATGTATGTACAATTCCATCTCTCCTTCTCCACTGATTGTTACCTCTCCCTCATTTCTAAAATATAATATATTATTACATACTGTAGATAACATTCTGAGTAACCAGACTTAGGGATGCAGACATTAAATCCAAGGTCAGTGAAAGCTTTTACCAATCTATGTCTTTATCACAGGTTTATCCCAATTCACAGGATGTTTATTTTTCTTCATGTAACTACTTTTTCCTTTATATCAGCACTAATTTTGTCAAAAAAATTTTTTTCCAGAGAAATGTGACCTAAGAAATGTTACTGTCCTGGTCAATCTGCCAGGACAATTATTTAAAACAAACCAAAAGCAGATCACATTCTGCTCCTACGAGAGAGGATAAGTTTAGGATGTAGGTACACAAATAGGGCCAATGAATAAAAGTGATAAGGCAGACTAGTATTTCATTTTCTATAGCTCAGCCATCCCCTAAAACCTGCCAAATGATTTGTGTATCTTGCCTTTTTACTCTCTTATTTATTACCTCCTTGCAGTCTAAGTTATTTTCTCTTCATTTTGCTTGCAGCACCCACTTGCTGGATTTTACACCCTTGGTTGGTAAATCCACTTGAAAGCACCCAAAGCTATCCTATGTGTTTTCAGTCTGTATCGGCACTTACCTTCGTGAGAGGTGGG